AGAGGAGAATGACAGCTGTGAAAACATATGTATCCTCTCAACAAATATAATAGTCTCAGTAGGAGGCAAAAGAATAAACATCACACAAGGCACAGTAAATACAAACTGAAAGTGTTTATTATATTGTCACTTCTAATTCCAAGAGATTTAACAGATATTTCCTGATAACATTCACATGCCCTTTGGAAACTGTGATGACAGAATGATGTGTTACTGCTTTCCTTTTATCAAAACACTGAATCAGGTGCATCAGATGAAAACATGGGCTCACTAGTAAAGCCAATCCCAGTTTGGGATGCACTTCAGCACATATTGGAGCACAATCCAGTATCATGCACTTGAACCCCAAAGAGCCTTGCTGAATATAGTAGCACAGACAAAGCTGATGCTGTTATCTCATGGATATGTTATCAAATTCCCTATATCTTTTTTCACTCGTCATTGACCTTTTCCCTATTTGTTTTCAGCCCCAGACCTTTGCTTCCTTCCAACTTTCTGTCCAAATTACTGTTTGTGGTATTTGCTGGGTCCCCAGGATGAAGGAGGAATTGAGAATCTGACTACATNATATTATATTATATTATATTATATTATATTATATTATATTATATTATATTATATTATATTATATTATATTATATTATATTATATTATAGTATCTTATATTACATTACATTACATTACATTAATACTATACTAAAACTATACTGTAGAATAGCGAAAGGACACAGACAGAAGGTTACAAAGAATGATCATGAAAACTTATGACTGACTCCTTCCAGAGTCCTGACACAGCTGGACAGTGATTGATCATTAAGTCAAAACAATTCACATGAAACCAATCAAACATGCACCTGCTGGATAAACAATCTCCAACCACATTCCAAAGCAGAAAAACACAGGAGAAGCAATCAGATAATTATTGTTTTAATTTTTCTCTGAGGCTTCTCAGCTTCCCAGGAGAAGAAATCCTGGCAAAGGGATTTTTCCAAAAATATGAAAGTGACAACTGTTCATGCATCAAATACTCAAGAGACAGAACTGCAGTTTAAGGCAATCCTGTAAAATATCCACAGATTAAAAGGCCTCAAGGGATCTGCCAAGAAAGCCTAGAAAGAGAATTCAGATTTGAGGAAAAAAGAATAAGTATCAGAATAACTTTTGGCTCTTGTGATATAACTTGAAAGTATTTTCCAAAAAAGAAATAAGTTTTGGAAAGAAATCCCAGAAATACAGAGCAGAGGCAAGAACTGGGATGAAGTTGTGGCATGTACCCTCAGTCTCAAGAGACAAGAAACTTCAGTGCTCTCATCCTACATGTGCAATTCTAACACTTTAGGCATAATCTAGGAGAAAGTGTGATTGGTGACAAAAATTTTGTATGAGAAGTTAAGTTGATGCGTGACATTATGCATGTCAGTAAAAGCTGTGAGGGAAGTCAGTTTCTTAGAGAAACTTTGTGTATCTGCCCCATATTCCTACAGCCTGTCCCTGAATTCTCACTCACAGAGCTGAAGCCTCAAGAACAAATCCACCCATGCTGCCTATTTATCTGAAAAATTGTTTTGAAAGAAGTTCTACACGCAGTTTCAAGCAAGACTCAGCAACAGGTACACAGCCATGTGCTTGTTCTTCCAAAACAAAAGTATCATCCCCTGCAGAAATTCATGTCCCAGCTGTCCCAGCCCTGCTCTCTGCTCTGAGGAACCATAAGGAAACACGTTTACCTGGATTTCACTGTGCTGTGTGCTACCAGAACAGTAGGAAACAATAAGTACAATGGGCCATCAATCTGTTCATTTTTGTGTAATTTTAAATAAGAATTAGCCATTCATAATCTTAATTTATAATGAAGACAAGCAATAAATAACCCTTGATTCAACCTGAGTAGGTTTAGGCAAATGACATTTTCCTGTTTCACATTTCCATTACTTCAGCCTGGTTATTTTCAAAGACAAGGACCACTTGCTCTACAATAACGTGACACCCTTGAGCTGAATTAAACATGCTGTATTCTTGCAAAGTTAGCTATTTTTACACTTGAACAGTCAAAGCAAAAATTGGCAGTATCATACAGCTCTAGTCAGGAGTCAAGTTTCCAACTGTGAAATGAAATTCCGTGAAGCAATTGAGTATGTGCAGTAGGAAAAAAAAAATCCACTGCTATCCCCATGTCTAGTTGATAATGATTTCCTTTTATAAAATGTATTGAATTGCCATTTATAAAATGAACTATTTTAAAGGAGAGAGCTGAGTCCCAGTGACAAGCTGCTGAAGTTATCAAAAATCTTCAGGGAAGGTTTTGCACGCATCTCTTCAAGACATAGAACAAAACAAAGACAAGACATGAAAAAGAAGATAACCTTTTGAGCAAAAGAAATTGTTCAAAGTATTTGATAAATACATCAAATATCTGATAACGTTTGGAGCCACAGAGGATTAAAAATGACAGTAAGTCCACCTAATATGAGTGTGTTTCTCCAGACATTTAAGAGGATTTTTTTTAATCTCAGGAACAAATATTAAGCTGATAAAAAATATTTTTTAAAATGTTCAAGTAAAGACCTGAATAAGAATTTTGGAGTTGGTTGACTTGAGAGGAGCCAAAAGGAGTGCACGGAGAGTCAAGTTCATGATTTTCAAGGTAAGGAGGGCAAATGTAAATTTTCCTAACACAGGCTGGTTATGTCAGGACCTTATCCTGCAGCCCTCCACTACCAAAACGTTGCCACATAAACCTGACACAGCAGGAAATTCTCCTATGGTGCCTCAGAGTGGACAAAACAAACAGTATCGGTTTGTAAAAATCCAGTTTCAGGGGGAGAAGGAGAGCACACACACAGAACATTCCAGCCCAGGAGCCTACAGACCATCAAAAACCCAGCTTATGTTCCACTAAAATGTTTGGATATTTTAGTGGAAGCAGATCCACTGCCAAACGATGTGGAAAAAAATTGAGATTATCCCTTGGAAAAATAGTGGTTACTCAGCATTTGCAGTTGGCAGCTTGGCGCAAACTTTGTTTTGGATACTTAGTAACCTATGATAAGGTAGTAGCTGCAAACATTTTGAAAATGCCACTCTGTAAAATAAAACTTCTTGTTATCCCATTGTAAGAAGTTTGTCAGTAAAATATTTCCTCTTACTCATTTCACTGGTAAAACTTGACCCTAGATTTTCTAGCAGAGTGACATTTTTGTTGTTTATCATGAAGATGATGTGAGTCCTCATCACTGTCACTTCAAGTTCATATTTAAAGTGAATAAGTCAGTACAGCCTGAATTACAGCCTGAATTATAGAAAATACATAACAAAGTCCAAGACTAAATATTCACTGCACTTTCAGCATGCCTGAATGCTGACCAAGCAGCCAGTTCTGACACATAAAGTGTCTGTGCTGTGGCAGATGTTGGCTCTTTGTTGACCTCACAAACAAGGGGATAATGTTGATGCACAATGAATATAAACTAGAGGCACCATCAGACTTCACATCCAACATTTCAAACAGTTAATATTTCATTATAATGATGACTGATAGGTGACACACTATATTTCACCAGCATATTACAAAAATATTCTGAAAAACTAAGCCTGGAGAAGGAATCAGTGAACAGGTCACTGGAGGAGCTGACAGGCTCATGTGTAAATAAAATAGTTTAGCTAGACTGAACTGGAATGTTACTAATGAATCAAAATATCATAAGAAACATTCACAGTTTCTTGTCATGTATTTGCAGGAGGGTGAAATATTACCCAGTTCTCTCAGGAGCTGTGGATGCATCTCATCGGGTCCCATGAACTGGTACACCTTCAGCTGCTTTCAGCAACTTCAGAAGTTCCAGCTTTAAGCTCTAAGAACTAAGATGATAAATCATTTTTTTATCCTCACTGATGTCAAAATTGAAATTACACAATTTCACCACTTGTCAACATTGGCATGTTTGTGTATGGTACATGAGAATGGATTGTAAAAACATCAGTTACTGTTCTTTCATCATGGTAAGTCAGCAGTAACCACACTGCCAGGCATCCTTGTTGTAAAAGACACACTTAAAAGCTGTTGCCACAAGTGAATTTCTAGTCTAACAACATATTAACAAGAAAAATTACAGCAATACTTGCTTAGCAGCTAAACCATCTCCCATAATTAGAGAGAGAAAATAATAGTACAGAGAGCTTGTGCTTAGGCCAACTCGAAGTTGCTGGAAACATCAGTCCCGAAAGTGTACGGTGAAAATACAATAACAAACAGAAGTGTAATTACATTGTACAGTAAGTTATAGAGGAACACAAATTGATCTTCAATAGTTAAAAGTGATTTTTTTCATAAAAAGTACCTAAGAGAAAAGCATTCCCCCTCCACCTTTATCTAACTGCTGTATTTCTTTTGGCATTGTCTCATAGAAAGCCTCAGCACTGGCAATTTCCCAGAGCATGCCTGCAATGACCGAAAATAAAAAAAACATTTACCACACTAGGCAAATGCTCCTCAATTTTTGGTTCTTATGCTTGGTCACCCCTTTTCATGGAAATTACAGTAATTTGGTATCTTAGCATACCACTTTACAACATATAGAGATGGACATATTATCTACACAAAAAAGCTCTTTCCAATTCATTGTACTTGACTTGGTAGTTTGAGGGTAATTTGCTCTTTTAAGTTGTTAAAAAAAGACCCTGGGTAGGTTAAACACCTGCTTCAAAACTCAGCAGCCTGAGTTTATTTTATGGGTTATCCCAATATGTCACAAATTTTAGCCTATTTAAAGAATACATTTCTCTGGGAAACATTCACAATATCTAGCCTGGCTTTGGAAACAAGTAATACCTTGTTAACAACACTGATTCTATTAAATGGAGCTCAACCCCTCAGCGTTTTTTTCCAAGATTAAGGGACAAAAAAAAAATTTGATTTTTTTTTAATTTTACAATGTAAATTTGATAATTTTTTTTAACTCCATTTCAATTTTTTTTAAGACACATGCAAGTGTTTCACTTACCTCAGTCAGGGTGAAAATATGTATAGCTGTGAACAGCTAGAAACAAGGCAGAAGTGGAAAACATTATAAATAATAGGTTATACAAATAATACAGGTATATGAATATATTAAAAAGAAGGGAAAAGACATAATGTGTGACAAGCATGTGAATCATATATATCATATGTATATTGGAATAACTGAATTTGGAGGGCTCTTTTTTATTCCCATATTTTGAACCACATGCAGTCCTCCAGATGGAGAAACCAATAAGAAGAGTTTAAAGAAAAATTAAGGGCATTTTTTTGCTTTTACCACCAAGTAAACTGAGTATTGCACCTGCAAGGGCAAATGGTGATTTCAGGGCTCCTAAGATATTCCTACACACAAAAGATTCCCTTCAAGCACAAGCTTTAGCAACCAAGCAATGGCTGTTACAATGAGATAGTTTAAAATGAAGTAATTATAACGCTGCTTGCTGTAATTGCGAACCAACTGTCTTCATGTCTATGATAAAAATACAGAGCTTTGCATAGTCCATTTCAGGGAAAGACAAGAAGACAAAATAAATAATGCAAAGTGGCTCTTACTCACTGTGCAAATCCTTGTGAAGCCTCTGGAATAGGTTCTGCGTAACCAACCTTGAGTTGTGTATTCTAAACAGTCTTTTGGGAGATTTAATTAATGCTGCAAAAGAGTAATGAAAAAAGTAATTCTGTGAGGGTAAAGTATTATTGTTGGGCACTTATTTCAGCTGCTGAAACACTGACAGTACACACAAACGAGACTCTGCTTCCATAAGGAATCACTTACATGAAGGGACAATTTTGGAACTATTTCATATAATGTGAAAATAAATTTATCTAGGTACATTGCCAAAACTGTGATTTTTTTTCACTACGCACACCCAGCTTAGCTGCTTTCATGAGTAACACTCAACCTATAAATTTGTGCTCAACTTTTCACAGTACCTGTGTTTTTCACTAAAAAAATTACACCAATAAACAGAGACAGAGCAAAGTTCCTACAGCACTTTTATATTCATAATGGCTTAAAAATGTGAAATACACAGGTACTTTGTTACTTCCCCCCACAATCCTAATGGCAAACCAAATTATACAATCAGAGTTAACAAGCAAAATTGGGATGCACAGGCCCACTTTTTGGTTTAAAACAGACGCAAAAATAACAGTATTTTAATTCAGGTTGAGAGCAGTAACTTGAGCTGTGTATGTTAACTCTTCGGTTAGCATGTTAACTGTAAAAGGTTAAAAATGTTAATTATACAGTCATAAAGGCAATTTGTGGAGTGGTGGCTGACAAAATTACAACAGCAGATCATCAGGAAGATGATTGCACATAAAGATATTATAGTACAAAGCAAAACTTCCACTTATTTTGTTCTCTTGTTTATAATATATCACGATACACTGAAATCTCAACTAATATTTTAATACCTTCCACCTTATCTTGAATGTCATCATGAATGATGCTGGGAAATAACATTAATAAATGCACTTATTAATAAATAAGGCATTAGCAGTGGCTGGGGCTCAGGAAAGTTTTATTTTTCTCATGTGACAATTTTCTCATGCCCCAATACCAAATAATATATATGTATTCTGCAGTAAAGCTGTAGTTGGACAAGCTCTTTCTTCCAATATAAACTGATGTTGCTGCCAAGAAAAGCACTAATTCTATGCATCCATTTCCACCTTTTTAAGGCTACAACTGTTTCACACCTTCCTGTGGGCCAGTTGAGCCTCTGTGCCATAGATCCCAAACTGGATCTGTGAAATGATCCAGTCCAAAGAACAGCTCCAGTCCCTTTGAGCTGTGCACTGAAAAAAATATTTTCAATTTACATTTGAAAGTTTACATTATTTACATTTCAAAGCGGGCTGGTTTTGACAACTAAATGGAAGAATAAAAGGTGCTCCTTCTTCAAACAGACTCCTCCAATGGCATCCTGTTGCTATCAATGCCTGCAATAAATCTGTAACTGCTTCCACAGGATAATTCCTTTTACTACTCTGCTTCACTTACCTGAGACTTATGTGGGCTCTCTGAAATCAAGGCAATGAAATTGAGAAATTAACCCAAAGTTTTGCTAAAAAACATATCGTTAATATCCATTATATTATGTCTCTCCAGCTTCTACTCACCCTTTCCCTTTCATTACTTAGAATTTAACAACTGCTTCATCTTATGGTTAATATCTGACCTTATGACTGAAGGGAGGTTAGTTCCTAAGTTGAATGTTAGACAAAATAATTTATCATGTTAGAAAAAATAATTTATTGTGTCAGCAAAAACAGAGGACAATTTCTGTAGGAAAACAATGGTTTTGTGTCACCAATGAGTTATTTTATCTCCTGAGCCCTCTGTCCATGACAGTAACAAAACAGTTTAGGGAGTTTATGCTATTAAAAAGCTTTTGTGAAGTACACACACCTCAACTTGACCATACATAATTTCAGCATTTAAAAACAACTGTTTACTTATAAAAGATGATTTTAAAAGCCAGTATGACTTTTATCTTGGTTCTTTCACTGTACTTCAGTGATTGGCAGTTTCAACCCCAAAGTCTGTGTATTTTGTAAAACATACACTAATCTTTCTGTGCTTCTTTCTTCCATAAAGATCATAAAATATAGATCCTGTGCATTACTTTTTTAGCTACCTGTGGTTTTTTTTCTTATTTGTATTTTTTGGTGTCAATATCAAGTAGAGAAACATTCTTTGTGGGGAAAAGTAAGTAAAAAAGGAGCACCTGAAAGAACTCATCACCAAATCATATTCACAGAAGCCAAATGTAATTATTGAAGGTGAAAAAGATAACCTGGCAAAAAGTAATATTTTTTTAAAAGGAAGGAAAAACTGTAGACATAAAAGATGCATGTGAACAAGCAGCCTAAATTCAAAGATTCATAGATTTAAAAGCTGGGAGGTACCAGTGTAATACTAATCCCATTCTGATCCCATGCATGGCCCAGGCCAGGGAATTTCACCCAGTAATTAATTCTATAATTCCCACAGTTTGTGTGTGAGTTAAGAGCACCTTTTTATAAAGGCAGACAGGGCAGCACTTGGCATCTCCTGCAAAAATCTGCCCTGATACCTAATTAGCCTCACCATAATTAAGGTACATCATATTTCTAATGCTTTAGAAGATATTGCCTTTCATTCCTTCGCCAAAATTCTAACCAATGCCATACTCTAAACTCCTCCCCCATGGCTTTCTGCGGCTGGCGAGCACTTACTTTCTATCAGTTCATGCTTTAAAGGAGAACAGATTTGAGTGCTCAGCTTTATTTCTCCAGCTGTAAAACAACTCTAGCTATCTACCACTCTCTAATCATATTTACCTAGAGATTCCCCAGTTCTGCCTACAAAGAAAAACATCTGCGGAGCATCAAGGATTAAACTGTGCTGCTAATGCAACTGTGTAACTGGAGTCTTTATGCCCCCCTTCAGCGTCTCCTCTGCGGCAACGCCATAAAATCCACTGCAGGACGAGAAGAGCTACATTAAAACAAGAACATTTGTTATAAAGATGATAAAGCAGATTGCAGAGCACTGTCGTGCCATAAATTCCAATTAGAAAATGCTCGAGAAAGGGGGAGCAGGGGGGAGAGAGGCCTGGCTGCCTGAGCAGCAATGGAATTTACCAAAAGTAGGAAAGCATCTTACCTCAGATTTAGCAAATGGAAGAGGGAAAAAGTATTGCAAACACTGATAAAATGAAAGTCTGTCTAAACAAAGGGGAAAAATCTAAAAAACAACTAGCTAAAGAAATCACAAGTAATGACAAAAGGCATCCTAGGGTTCTATATCAGCTATTAGTGGTCAAGGACCACCAACAAATGTAATTAAGCCTCACTTCTCAAAGTAATTTTAACCTGTTTTTATTAAAGTCTTACTTCCGTGAGCATAAAAACCCTGGTTTTCTATCCTGTTGCAGTACATAAACATGCAGAAAGGCTATGAAAAAAATAATGGCTTCCTTGAAACACTGAGATGGTAGCATCGAACTTCTTTTCCTGAAAAGTTTGTCTTTAAAATAATCCATGTAAGAAAACAGATGGAAACCACAAATACTGGAAGTAACTTTGTTATTCCTTTGGCAAATGTGAAGGGGGCTGGGGGGTCTTTTTCCTTCACGTTGCCCAAATTTCTTTAAATAGACCGCAATATAGTAACTGAAGGTGGTGTTACCATATAAACAATCCATGCACAAATCACCACTATCCATCATGTTGGAGAGGAGCCCTTTAAAAAAAAAAAAAAAAAAGAGCGTGGAGTGACAGAAGGGGGAATGGGTGCAGACTAGGAGAGGGCAGGGCTGGCTGGGATCTTGGCAATGAGGAATTGTTCCCTGGCAGGGTGGGCAGGCCCTGGCACAGGTGCCCAGAGCAGCTGGATCCCTGGAAGCACCCAAACTACAAAGCCCGGTTGGACACTGGAGCTTGGAGTCACCTGGGATGGTGGAAGGTGTGTCCCTGCCCGTAGGGGGCGGGGAGGGTAGAACCGGATGAGCTTTACGGCCCTTCCCAACATAAGCCATTCTGTTACTGTATTTTTCGTCCACTTAGTAGGATCCATGAGCTCTAAATTTAAACTGGTCCAGTGCACCTCGTAAAAAACGCAGCTCGCCCTCAGTCCCCCTCCCGCCATTTCCCGCCGCCCCCTCAGCAGCCACAAAATGTCGGCGGGGCCGAGCGCGACTCCCTGCCCCCCTCCGCGGAGCGCGCGCGGGGCTCGACCAATCGCAGGGTGCTGATTGGCACCACGTGACCGCCAGGAACTACAACTCCCGTCATGCCCAGGCACTCACTTCCTCCTTCCCGGTTCCGCTTCCGGCTCCCGTCGGCCGCGCCACCCCGAGGAAGGTCGCGCAGGGCGGACGAGTGGCTGCTGCCTCCTGTCCCTATCATGCTGTCCGCCGGTGTCCGCCGCTTCGCCACCTCCGCCATCCGCCGCAGCCATGTTGAGGACGGACCTGGGAAGGTGGGCAGCAGCGTCCTGGCCCGCTGAAGGTCGCGGGGTGGGGGTTGGTGGCTGCCCTGCTCCTGGCTGTGGTGTGTGGGCTTTGGGGTGGCGCGCTGATGCCGGTACAGGCACAGCAGCGCAGATCGTGTGGGGGCAGAACGCCCTTCCCTGCGGTGGTACAGATGATGAGCATTGCGGTATGAGGGGTAACAATGATACTGTAAACGCTTTCTGATGTACCTGGCCGGTTTTCTCAAGCCTTCGGTCTAAAGGGTTCATTTTATATGCATAACTGATACGAGGAAATTCTTCACGGTGAAGATAACGAAATACCAGAACACTTGGGGGCTGTAGGTGTGTATATCCTCAGAGCTTTTATAATTGACCGCATGAGACCTGCAGCGAACCGGCCTCACCTTGGGCAGCACGGGAAGGAGAAGGGAGGACGAGGTGACCTCCAGAAGTCATGTGCAGGCTGTAATCACGGAATGTTTGGGTGGGGAAGGACCTTAAAGATCGTTCTGTACCACCCCTCGCCAGGGGCAGGGGCATCTCCCGCCATTCCAGGCTGCTCCCAGCCAGCCCCAAGGTCCAGCCTGGCCTGGGACACTGCCAGGGATCCGGGGCAGCCCCAGCTGCAGTGGGAACGTGGGCCAAGGCCTTAGCACCCTCACAGGGAATCATTTCTTTGTAGTACCCACCTGAAATGTCTCCTCTGAGTTATAATCTGATTTCTCTTGTCACTGTAATTCTCCGTGAAGAATCCATCTCCAAATTCCCTGTAAGTACCTTTCAAATACAGGAAGGTTATTTATTACCCTAAGTATTTTATTTCTTGCCTTGAAAAATATTGAAAATGCTTTGAAAGTGCCTAATTTTTGTTCTGAGATTCTTACCACTTCCAGATGGGTTAGAAAGGATTTAATGCTTGGTTTGAAAAGGCTAAAATTCTCTTATTTTTCCCCGCAGAACCTCCCATTCTCTGTAGACAACAAGTGGAAGCTGCTGGCCATGATGTGTGTGTTCTTTGGGAGTGGATTTGGTGCCCCTTTCTTCATAGTCAGACACCAGCTCCTGAAGAAATGAAGGGATCAGGCTGCAGCTGCACCAGCTGGGTGAGTGCTCCTGTTGGGTTTCCTAGCACAGTGGCGTTCAGGGAGCCTGTCCTGCTCAGGATCTCACAGTTCTGCAGTGCTGTGGTCTGTAGGTGTAAGTTTGTGTCACAGAGCTGCTGCTGCTCCCTCGGTGCTTTGTGACCTTTGCCTCCCCAGAGGCCCCTCCTCCCTGCCTGCAGCTCCTGGCTCTGCCCAGAGCACGGCTGGTTCCTGCCCTGGGGTGCAGCTGGTGAGGTGGCACCACGGGTGAGGAGCTGTGGTGTGCCAGACAGAGCTCGGGGGAAAACCACATCTTCTTGAGCCTGTATCAAAACAGTCTCACCACCTACATCATTCACAGGTTACTGTGCAGTTGAGGTAAAGTCATTAACAGGGATTAATTGGTGCTTGCTGATGTCCTAATAAAGCATCAGACTGTGCGGCCATGCCACTTCAGTTTGTTTTAGGGTGATTCTGTTTTGGAAATAACTGGTGTTGTCTGTAATCTGAGAAACTAAACATTTTTCAGGAGTTTCAGTGACCCAGGTGGTTCTTGACAGGAAGTAACAGATCCTACTGGAAGCTCAGAATTTGAACAAATTGTGCAATTCCTTTGCCAGATTGATGTTTATTCCGCCCTCGACTGAGGAGAAAACCAAAATCAGCAGATTTGTATTGAAGTTGGGCATTTAGAACTGGGGGGTTTCATGCAAGCTGAGGCCTCTGATGCAAAACCAGACAGTGGATGAAACAAGATCCTGAAATAAATCAAAGTTCAAATTAAAATATGTTTATTACACGGCTCTTAAGTTTCTTCAATTTCTTTTTCTTGCAGAGTTGAAGTCTTCTGCACAGCATCATTCAATGGGGATATGGTAGCTGCAACCCCTGCTGGATGTCTCTAAATAAAATCTTACACCCCAAGGCCTTGGGCTGTGTGTTTTGTGAAACTCCTGAAGTGCTTTTGACAGCTGGTGTGTACTGAGAGCCCCGTCTAATTTCAGTGTATTGCCATTCAATTAAACACTTAATTGTCATCATGAATAAGAACAGAAAGTGGGGAAAATCACATTTCAGAACAGAGGGATTGGGCTGAACTTCTTTTACTGCTCAGAATAATGGCCTGGGACAGTTGATGGCAGGGGATATCCTGTCACCATAATCCATGCTGCAGAAATTTTTACTTTCCTTTTTTGTGGCTTTTCTTCCAGGCTCAGCAGTTCTGAGGAGCTGCTTCTCCCTGATCTCTGTGGCATCAGCTCTGAGCAGGGACTTGGGCTCTGCCCTAAAGCTTTTGTGAGGCTTCAGGCTCAGGGGGTGACATGGGCAAAAAAAAAATATTGGTAACATTCTGTAATTACCAAAACTGAACCTGCTGCGGATTTCCAGGTGTTTGGAAGGAACTGATGGCTTTCTGCTGGTACTTTTCCATTGTGAACCTTTCTGGTTTACCTTTCCCCCACTCAAACACCCTCCTGCTGCAGCACAACGCATTTAATGTGGCTTGGAGCATCAGAATCTGCAAAGTGAACAGTTCACAAAATTTTGTTTTCTTGGCTAGTTTCTCATCCAACTCCCTCAGCAGAAGTATGTGGGAGTTGTAACGCAGTGCTTGTAGCAGAACAGCTCCTGGGTGCTACATTTCTGACTTCAGGGGTGAGTCTCAAGTGCTGATGACTGTTCCCCCTTGTCCCAGAATCCCTGATTGTCAGATTTCATAATGCTATTTCTCTAAATAGCTACTTTCATTTATAAAACCATCTTTTACAACTTATTTCTAACTTCTCTCTCAACAATATCTTACCCTATAGCATTTCTAAGTCAACATTTCTTATCTTTACATACAAATACAAAGTTTACATACAAATACGTGCTATATAAGCCTTCTATCAAACTTTTAAAATTCTCTACAAACCCATTTCCCACCCTCGATGTGTTTGCAAGGAGCACACATCACCTCTGAGGGTTCACCCTATGGGAGAGGCCAGCGAGTTCCTTCACTGTGCTTAAAACAAGGTGAATATTTTAATTGCACCCCCCTTCTCTTGCGGCTTTCAAAGATACTTTTGAGCACAGGGTGTTTAAACTTGGAGCAGTTATTTTTGGATGAAATGGTAGATACTTGAGGGAGTGTTCTAAAACTGTAATCATCTCTTCTCTTCTCGCAGTGTTGTTACCCTGATGGATCACACTCAGGAGCAGGAAGGTCCTGGGGGGCTCCCCGTTATGAGATGCCTCTAAATCCTGAGCTGTTTCCAAACCTGCCACCAGCTTGGGTAAATAAATCACTTGATGTGGAGCACAGCACCTGTGACATTTCCTCTCCTGATTTTTACACGATATCCATGGCTGAGGGGATGGAGGAGCTTAGTATCCTCTGTGCTGCCACACCCCCCATACAATCCCAGTTTCTGTGTGCCAGTACAAGTCATGCAGAAATGAAACAGCATCAGCCCTGCTTCGTGTGAGAGCTGAATAAACACATCATGTTAGTCTTAAACTTTGATAAACCTGTGCTTGTGGTCTGATACCACTCTCATTTTCAGAGAAAATGTGGTACGGTTTTGTGGCCTTCCTTCACTAAACAGTCACTTAATTCAAGGTTCCTTGAGTGTAGGAAGTTGTTAATTTGTATTTTTGATAAAACACCTGCACACTGTGAGTTGGAAATTGAGGACTCATGTTCTCCACTCGTGGCAAACTCTGTTCCTCCTGCTGTAATTAGTCCCTTTAGAACTGGGTTGTTCCCTTACTTGAGGTGCTCGGGCAGTTTTCAGCAGTGTTTGAGCCCCAACAATTACCAAGTCCGTAAGTTCCCTGCCTGGCTTAAGTAATTGGTTCCCCTAGGATGCCAGAAGTTTTCACTCCTGCAGCAGAAATGTGTTAATAGATCTGTGCTGCTCTTTCTGTTAATGCAAAACTGCATTCTACCCAAGGACATTTTTTACTCGTAGATTATCTGTGATTTCGTCACTGCTCAGCAAAGCAAAGTCTGAAATGAGTTATTTTGGTTGTCATTGAGAGAGATGTGGCTCCTGTCATTAATACCAGGTGTTTGACTGTGTTTCAATTTCACAGAGGCCCAACTCCAGATGGCATTTTTTTCTTTGCTCTTATGAGAAGATCACTGCATTCAGCCAACATATCTCCACCATACTTATGTAGTTATTTGTTTATTATTTTAACTACCCTTTTTTTTCCCATTTACTCCCCAAATTTACCTTGGTCCCAATTTTCTGTAGTTTACCCATTCCATGGTTTATTGTTTTAAGCCCTCCTAGTCCATTGTTTCTTTACTGACTGCTGAAGAGATGAGCCAGAGAAAGTCAGATTTTTTTGCCTCACATCATTTTCTCATTTTGCAACAGCTTCTCTAAACACGTTCCCACCACAGATCCTAGCATGGAAATACCCAGCCCTGAGTGATTCTAGAGACAGATGTGTCACTACAAATATATATGAATTAACTGATATTTAATGGTATTAAGAAAGATGGTTCAGATTCATTACAGCCCACCAGCTGCAGAATTAAGTTGTGCAAAAACATAACAGTGTGTCCCATCACACTCAGATATATGATAGTCTGTGTACCCTATGAATTATTTATTTTAAAATAGCGTTTTGGGTTCCCTTTAGGGCACCTTGACTTGGTAGAAGATAAATCAGTTGAGAATAGGAAAAAAGCAATATGTAAGTGGTGCTCCTCTGGCATTACAATTGTATGAAGGAAACAAGGCAGTGGTTAAAGGACCTCTGGGAAATAACACATCTGTGTGAATGATTGTATTTTTTGCTTGCCAGATGCCAATTTAAAGGAAAATCATTAATGATCCCTG